ACCACCTTTATTCTTCAACACAGCATGAACTCTCTTAGGGAATGTAACTTATTGAAGTAGTCTTCAGGAATAGTTCTCCAGGCTTCTTGAGGAACATTCAAAGCTGTTCTTTGGATGTTGGTTGCCTTTTGTTCTGTTCTCTGTCAAGATGATCCCACACTGCTTCAGTAATGTTGAGGTCTGGGACCATGGGAGGCCATTCGATGACTGACTGACTGATAACTTTTGTACTGTGTTTTTTTTTTCTATTTAGGTATGCTTTTACTGAATTGGCAGTGAGTTTGGAATCAACATGAATCAAATGCTGTCCATATGCTCTTGCATGTTGGTACAAAATCAGATGGCACTTTTTTTTTCATAATTACATCAATTTTGACACCAATGGTTGAATTTCAGCCCCAATTCATGACAGTGCCCCCACTCTGCTTTACAGATGGCTGTGACACTCACTGTTGCACCTGTCCCCTGACTTTCTCTGTATATACTGACATTGATTTGAACTGTAAAATTCAAATTTGAATTCATCACTCTATCAGACCTGTAGTCACTGATTTTCAGTCCAGTTATTGTGTGATCTGGCATACCTCAGCCCTTTCTCCTTGATTCCTTTCCTTAAGAATGGCTTCTTGGCAGCCACCCTTCCACTGAGACCATTTCAGATGAGGCTTCAGTGAACAGTAGGTGGATCAACTGTAGTGCCAGATATATCTCTAGGATCCTGTGTGAAGTCTTTGCTGGATTTTTTCCTATTTCTTAAGGACATGACTTTCAGATACCGTTCATTTGCTGGAGACACTTTTTCAGGCCGGATTCTTCTTTTGTCCTCCACTTGTCCAGTTTCCACAAAAACTTAAGGACACACAACACACTATGAAGAGATATGCAAAGTTTGCATTTAATAGTTCTTTAGTAAACACCTTGCTGGTGGAAAAATACAACTTTATGTCTGCCAAAGTATGTTATCTTTTTTATTTTCTGTTGATTCAGCTAAGGAAATAGGGACAGTTTTTTGCAAAATGCTGCTAGTAACAAACTGCATATAGACACAGTACATATGTACCACTGGAATTCAGTCTTGTTATATTAATTTGCTAAATCAGATAATTATTACAAGGTGTATGTGAAATCTGTTTAACTTTTTCTTTTGTGGGTTCTTCTCTGAAGACACAAGAGAAATTACTATGCAAACAAGAAACCCACTTATATTTATAGAAAGAAATCCCCTGTATTTTAAAAAGAAATACCTGTGTCCGCTACAGTAATATTAAAATAACATTTGTGAATGTGTCACAGTTTACAGGAGTGCTGTATGTGTAAACTCCCCATAAAACCCTGAGAAACATAGCAGATGTTATGAATAACCTTAAATGTCATAAAGAACAAACGAATTTTACACTTTTTCCAACTGAACCAGGCTATAAAACATCGATTTATAACACCACCCCTCCACTGTTGACATATAAAGACGGGCAAGCAATGACAACTCTAACCCAGAACATAGGTTCGATTTAACAAGTGTACCGGTAATAGCAACTGTCTTTCCGTGGAATCACTGATTTATGCCAGTGATAGCGGCCGTGTGTGCTTCTTCGTTGCTATGCAGAGAGCAATCACCTCTTTATCTCGTAGGGCGCATATCTCAAGAGATCCATTATGAAATACTTTGCTGAATCCACGGCAATAAAAACCCTGCAGTTCGTACATAAAAGAGCAATTCTTTCCCTTTAACATTTACCAAAATGCAGTCAATCAGCGATCTTTGCAGTGACTTAGATTCCCACACATATCCCAAATTGGCAGATTTACATCCGCTGTTAAAAAGCACACGATGATCACCAATGATAATGCATAGATAATGCATTTACTCAGGAAACACCTGAGGAAGGCTGTGCGATATAAGACCCGATCGGGACGTGTCCTGAGAAACATCAACATGAGATCCCTACCGTTGGTCATCGTGCTGCTGTGCATGTTGTGTGCGGCGCAGGTTCAGACACAGGAGAGCGCCAACACACTGAAGCTGTGCGGTCGAGCTTTTCTAAGGGCAGTGGTGTTCAACTGCGGAGGATCCAGGTGGAGAAGATTTATGGGAGAAGAGGATACTTTCCCAGAAGGTCAGTATGGACTCACCTCTATTTTCCTTTTTAAATGTATCTAACCTAAATTAGAGACTTCTAGTAAACAAATATTTTTACCTCTTTGGCAGTCAACAGAGATGCAAACCTCCTAAAGTGGATAGATGTGTCAGTAATGGAACGTCAATTGCGGGACCAAAACGCAGCCTTGATGAGAACGTGCTGCCAACAGGGTTGTCAAAAAAGCGACCTGTCCATGCTCTGCTAGAGCAGAGGAACATCTCAAGGAAGTTCTCAGTCTGTCACAGTTACTCCTAATTTGGCATAATCTCTGTTGTACAGAACACTGTAAGGATGACATCATTTCTGAGTGCAAAAATGTAAAAAAATAAATAAAATGTAAAAAAAAAAAAGCACACTGTGAGGTTTGGTTAAGATTTGTTTTAAATTTCTTTACAACTACTCAAAAACAGAGCACAGAAAGAGAGAATTCACTCAAAGTAAACAGCATAAACACTCGCCACGCCAAACAGAGAACTGTTCTTGAAGAAGTGCGAGGCGAAAGTGTCATTAGACGTGTCCCAGAGACAGCGGCTGCTGATCTGCATGCATTGCCCGGTGAGCTGGCCGATGTGGACCAGGATGACAATTTTGTATCTGGGGATCATTAGTTCCTTCACGCGGGCTCTTATTACCTGGAAGAAGAGTCAGTCTGAATAATGGAGAAATTTAAACATGTTTAGAAAGAGTTGCATCTATTCTTCATTTACCTCGCACAATGTTTTGGTCATTTTTTGAGACCACTCTACTTCATATTTCTCCTCTTGGAGGTAACTGGTAAGGACGTCTTTAAGTATGTCTGTGGCCGCGTTGGCAGGGAAGCGTTTGTAAGGTCCTGTGGTGCGAAAAAAGCCAGAAAACATTTATTACTAACAAAAATCCCATTTTATATTTGTCTAGTAGTTTTGATGGTGGGGTAAAAACATGATGGATGCATGTGAACAGAAGAAAAATTCATATTTTTGTCCATCTCAATTTATATCCTACACAAAACAGTAGGCCACTCTTTACCACCGTGAGGCTGAATTTTTACTTTTCTGCTTAAAATGATCAAACAAAATATATTCAGTTTATTTGTCAGTTCTGTGATGCCTAGAACCTATAACTCAGCCCCAGTTTTGTAGGCAATTAAAAAGGCTAACTCACCCATCTGGTAGGTGTTCTCCATTGTTGGAGCAAGGCGAGCATTGTCATCATGGTGGCCCAGTTCATCAATGTATGACACAGTGCTTATAGAGCTGAAAGACATAATCATGCTGAAGAGAATACCAGGACAGATGCCATGTGGACTGACCAGCAGTTTCACAACCAAACATGCTGCACTGGGAATGCTGTTTTGAAAATCATTCATAACCTACCAGGAAGCTAAAAAGCTAAAAGATGGACACTGGCCCATATTATCTTAGTCTACTCACTCCTTAGTCCTGCCAGTTGTGTCTTTGCCTCTCCCGTTAGAAGGCACCTTGACTACCCTCTTCTCTTTCCTTTGCTGTTTTTCTTTATCGGACATCCCCACTTCTCCTTATTTTTGGGTTCTGAATGACCTGAATGTCGCACGTAGACCCTAACAAAGTACAAAACAATACGCTCATAAATGTGTCATTTGCGTTCAGAGTCACTAGACCGAGTTTGAAAAGTAGAGTTTTTAATTACAAAATCGATTACAGATGATAAAATTAGAATACTGAGCCAAATTACCAGTTTACCAGCCTTGAACTAAGCCGAACCAGTCGTCTGGTATGGCTTAGTGTTGTTATGGAAACGGTCCATTAAGCTGTGGGAGGGGTTTCCGGTGAAGTGCTTGTTAAAGTCTCGCGAGGTGAACGACCGAGACAAGCTTGGAAACGAGAGGCTGAGTTAATTACATTTTACAGTAGATATAATTTTAAGGCTCACCTTACCTTACGTTAAAGGCAAAGTTGTGTACCCTTTTCATCTCCCATCTTCTTCCCTTTTTAACGTTGTGTTGTGGTAAACTATTTCCTGTAAAGCACTTTAGGCTCATGTCAGTAAAAAGTACCATTTCTGAATATTTCTTGCTTGATACCCCACATTTTATTAAAGGAGGCCAATAATTATAATAACAGTTACAGAGGTGGCAACAATATACCTTTTTCACAAACGTTATACTGACATGAAAAAGATAAACACAGGAGCTACAAATAATCTAATAATATCATATAACACAATAAAAAAATATATAATATTCATGCTCTGGCCAGTTTATGCACAGATCCTTAATTTATGTGATTAGCAACACCTGTGTTTTACGGCAAATAGCTGCTGTGGAAAAATTATATCCTTGAATGCATCCTTAAAAGAAACATGTGGGGGAAAACACTCTTCTAAGATAGGATAAGAGTGTATTAAATACATTTTTAAAAAGAATATGGAATAGATGAAAGAAATATTAAAAGATAATTAAATCAAATTAAGATAACTATTAAATTAAAATATAATGATTTGTAAATAACTGGATATGAGTAAATTAAGGTTTTTATCTATATCTATGTATATTCTTATAATACAGTTTATTTTTAACTAACTAAGCAGCTCATTCTCTTTTTCATCCTTCATCCTGCTTCATAAACTGTCGTCATGTGCAGGAATAAGACCATGACGGGGTAAAAAAATTCCCATAATCCCACTAAGGACTGTTTTTGTAGTTGCTTGGGAGTGTTTATTTATATAACATGATGACTGATGATGATGGTTTTCAGCCTATTTGACCTCACTATTAAGTTATGACAGACAATAATTTACAGTGTCGCTGAAGCGCCAGGTTGTACATTTAATGTTACGGGTTATGTGCCTGTAGGTGTTATATTTTTACATCTTTGAACAAATGAGAAGGAGATAAATGACTCTTATTTCCTCTTCTTTATTACCAAGTAAAACAGGTATTACATTATAATGACTTTTTTTTTCATATATTTTCTCTCAAAATCTTTGGATGGGAAATTTACATGAAATGTTTGCATATTCTGATCCTAATGCAGTGAAAGAATACATACAGCCAAAAAAGTTGTAGAAAAAATAAACTTACAGAAAACCTCTGGTTTTGGAATATTAGTGTACACTCAAAAATAAGGCAAAGAAAAATATAAGCATATTCAACAGAAGAAAAACAAAAGTCGTTCTTACTCAACCAAAAAAAAGCCATGTTTCTTTTTCTAAGGAACTGAATTTCGCCCGAGTCCAAAGTGTGAGTCAACACATGGAAACGCTCTGTAAAAAAGTGAAACACACACATGTGACATGAAGCAACAATTTGTTTCATGAAGAAAATTGAAGGTGTGCTTTTGTGTGCAAGTCAAACACAGGAGGATGTCAAACACCTATATCGGATGCATGGGATGGGTACGTCATTGAACGCATGCCAGATTTGATTGACAATGAGTTTCTGAAGGTGCATCACCAGCAAAATAGAGAATGGAGGCGCAAGTGAAGGCAAAGGAGTCTCTTCTCAAAGCACACTGATACAACAACACACACATCATGACCTCACTGAAATGGATAAAGTGGTATTGCATTGATAAGACCGGCGATGGACAGGTGCAGATTTCATGCGCCACTGTTTGGAGTTATTCATCAACACCTTTTCTTTCTTTTTTTTCTCTTTGTTTTTTTGTTACAAGAAACCTACGTTAGATGAAGAGAGTGTTGTGTGTCGTTACGCAGAACCAAATGCATTATGAGCGCTGACATCAAGAAACCAAGAGACGATCACAGACACGTCCATATGCTCAGAGAAATATTTGAAACATAGCTTTTTATGTACACTTTTTACACTTAAGTCTTTTAAATATTGCTATTAGAAAATGATAAAACATTTATTCGACATGGTGGGAAAAGGGAGAAAATAAAGCAGGGAAATAAATAGTGCTGTCTTTTTGATAGACACTTCTTTTCATTGCTCTGTGATGTCCTCCATCAAAGATTATTGTCAGAGTTTATAAGCAGCATCAAAGGCAACTCCTACAATCCATAGCCCTGGTCCCTTTAGATTTCTCTGGAAACTTAAAGGTCCTTTTCCTCAGTGTATGGCACTCTTGCATCTCTAGACTTCCTAATATAATTTCTGGATAAATTACCCAAGCTGTCCCAGTGAAAGTAGCAGCTTCACACATAAGCGTCAGCTCAGTATAATGCAATTCTACCCACAAAACACCACCACAAACTCCACCTGTGTCCTGTAATGTGAGACCTTTGATGTATCTCAACATTGCACTTGCCCTTTAGTGGTAATTCGATGCGTTTGTTGTGCACCAGGTCACACTGCTCTAACTCTCTGCCAACACGACTCGTTAATGGTAAAAATGCTTCCAGTAGTAGTGTTTAAAGGCTGTGTGTGTGAAAGTATGGCGTTATGTATGCGCTTCAGCCCTGAGCACAGTCTTTCCAGCACATCAAGTGTGGTTTGTAAAGAAACTCTTTTGCACTCAACAAACTGAGGCCTGATGTTTGACTTTGAAATGACCAAAACTGCAGTTCCTTTAACGTCCACTCGAGGCTGCCTCCAAAAATGAGTCAATCCCCATAAACTAGGAGGTGGGGAAAAAAACCGACACTGCATATTATTGCAGTATTTTATCAATACGTAAACACCAAATATCGATATTTTACGAAATGAATGAAAATACTCTGAATACTACGAACAAAAGCGCTCAGCTCAACCACCATCATCCTGAGATAACGTTAGTTAGTAAACTCACATCGGCTCAAATGTGAATTTGTCTGTGAAGACATCAACAGATATGTGACTTTCACCCAACCGTCTGGTGATTTCCACCTTTAACATTTACAGTTTAGTAAAAAACCTTTTCATTTCCAATGACAGTGGTGTCCTCAGTGGACCAACTATGCCACTCGTTTTCTGCAAGGCACCACCTCAGTTAATAGGAACTGGACCCGTCGTGCATGTGGGTGTCTTTTTGATCATTCTCTGAGCCATCTGCCAAATCTCCTGCCGTGTTGCACATCATGTCCTAGAAGTCTCTGCTCTATATTACTTGAGTGAACCTACAGCGAACTTAGCCCGCAACCCTGTCATACAAATATGGCCACAAATATAGCTCCAATAATCCAAAACACTCACGACGACTATAAATCAAAATGTAACTTTGCTAACCAAGTCTAAATGGTTCATTCAGTCTAAGGAAGCAAAATAGCATTAAGTTTGGATCTTGGTTACCGTGGGCTTATGATGATTAAATGGATCAAGCATACAAATCATAGAGCAAACAGTTTTATTTGCTCTAATTATTATTGTGACAAGTTTCCCTACAAAATCGAATTTATGTGCTAGAAGGAAATGATCATGACCCATGATCAAATTGTTCCCTAAAGTTCCCAGGACTGAGGCGCAAACATAATTCCATGTCAAGAGCACCTTAGGATTCATAGTGCTGATGTTCTTCCAGTGCTGCAGGTCATTTTAAACTGTCACCTTTAATCATAAGACAGATAAAAGGGATATGACGGTGTCAAAGCTGTCCACACAGAGGAATACATTCTGCTTGGACAACAATCACGACAGTCACACATGTTGAAAATAAACAAAAAACATCTGATTTAAAGGTGGCAGTGCAAATCAGACAGTACCATGTGACTATAACTAATTGGAATACATCTGCAAAGCAAACTTATGTTAAAACGTTTTCCATCTTTTCCACCTCGTTTAAGATTGTTTTGTCATACAAATTATTCACATCATCTTTAAGAGTGCATTCGAAGTGATAACCCGTGAAACAAGAGGAAAATAGAACAAATAAAGCTGGATCACTGTATGAAATCCACAATTATTTTTAAGTTAACAAGAACATAGACTTGGGGTTTCCCTAAACGTTACTCTATATAAGCTCATAAGTGTTCCAAGTGCACAAAACTAATGACTTGTATTTACTTGCATAAACTCAGCAGCAGTCAGTTGACCGAGAATGTCACATTTCACCTCTGTGTTGTTATCTGTTACTCTAATGAACTCCAGCCATTAAATCTAATGGCTCCTAAAGATAAATTTTCAAATGCACTAAACATGGGATGATCCATAGTCTTCACAGTCAAAAGCCATTGATTTTCTTGGTTCTGTTCGCAAACAGGTCCGCTAATTATCTGCCAAATATTTCCCTGTGAAACACAATAAGACATGTCAGATAGTTGGGAAGTGTCCGTGTGCATTTATATTAACAAACCACAGACTGAAGACAGTCAGCCACTGTTTCTGATGCTTAAACTGACCTGCAGCAAATCTCTTCTTGACCAATGATAGCCGGTAGCCAGTCCCGACCAGCTGGATGTCACAGCCTGACAGAGTGCTTCCTTCGCTTGTGAACTGGACTGTCAGCTGGGAGGGTTTACAGGGACCCTCGATCATCTGGAACCGGCCCAGGAGAGCCCCTACTCCTGCCAGACATGTGATATTTGTGTAACGGGACCAAAAGATTTTACTTTTAAAATCCAAAGAAGAAGAAGATGAAGTAGAAATTAAAAATGTTAAATAGTATGAACATGGCAAAAATGAATACTTGCCTCCATTCTCAGACCTGTGAGACAGGCTTGGGATTTTCCACTGTATTGTCTGCTGCTCCGGGTTCCTATATGAGGAAAGAAATTCCATGTTACATGTTACTCTCTCACATGTACTCTAAAGAGCAGATATAATAATACGATGAATACAGTGCATATCAATAATACACAGGCAACTGTGCCAATATTTATACACACTTATATAAATACAGAGTATGAAAATAATATAGCCTAGTTTCTACAAATAGATGGTAAAAGGTAGACGGTTGATGCACTAACATACACGTCAGTTTGCTCAGTTTACAATACTATCTCGGCCTTAGCCTCTCAATACGACCACATACTAAGAGTCCTTGTCACCAGGAATCCTCACCAGGTGGCAGGTGGGATCATGGCCTGTAGTTTGGCAATGCCTCCATCAACAGGAACCAGGAAGTTGATGTCGTGAAGCGGCACCGGGGCAGCCAGAGCCTCCGTGTTGTATTTGTAGTCTATTCTAAGGTCTATGTTGGTGCCATCGCCACGCCAGCTCACTGCCAGGTTCAAAGGAGTGGACTGGATCCCGTCTGCTGAGACCTAAATGGCAAAGACAAAGAAGACAGTGAGATAACTGGATAGATAGAAAAAATATAAAAACACATCCGTGAATATTAATGGATATTATATACCTGATACTTGATCATATCCACATTGTAGTATGTCGCCTGAGGCTTCTGTTCAGCCACTTTCTTTAGATGGCTAATCAAGTTTGGCATATTTACCCAGAACTCCTTTCTGTCTACACTGTCTGTAGTGGAATCACTAAGGGATGAGAGGAACATCTTTGATTCAGCCAGCATGAAGTAACACTATGAATCTCTTTTGTTTGGACTGTAAAAATGGGCAACTGTCCGCTCCAGTATATGTTTGTCTGTAATCTTCATCTTACCAGCACAGCAGCTGTGGATTAGGGAGGACCTGCTCCAGTCGGTTGTAGTTGCTGATGCTAAAAGTGAGGATAGGTTGAGCTGGGTAGCTCGCAAAGTGCCTGGTTATGCCAGCGGGGAAGGACAGCACCATCTCCCCTGTGATCTTCACAACACATCTGAGGCAGAGAGAGGACTCAAACTAAACAAAATATAAAGCTCACAGATCCCTCTCAGTATAAAAACCCTGAATACAAAGAACTGTGTACCTAATTAGGCTTAAAACAACCTAGCCCAGTCTGCCTTAGAAACATTCCCCTGTCTGCAATTATTAGCAGTGCAGTGTTTCAGTTTTAGCATAAATCCATGCTGACATGATGTCAGTGCATTTTTAATGTAAGCCTACTTGCTGGGGTCAGCGCCTTTAAAGTAGGCATTGATGGTTTCTGTGAAGGCAGCTGCCACTGGCAGAGTGTCTTGGGGTCCCATGGTGAGTGGACTGGGACCTCTGGAGCACCCTAAAACACACATAAACACAAGTGACACTGCTATAACATCTCCTTATAAAACCGTAGTTGGGTTATATCTTACTTGCCTGAAAGTAGGTTTCACACACAGAGGACAGAATAATTCAAAAACAATTAAAGCAAAACCAAAGCCTCGATCATGGATCTGGATTCTAAGTAAGTGAGCAGGAGATGGGGATGGGTGGCAGCACTCTTGTGGACACAGCCAGTAAAGAAACGGGGCAGGTGCGTACAGTGCATGCACTGGTGTCACTAAAGCAGCACTATAGCTCAACTCACCTTCAAAAGCTAAATAAAACCTGCCGTGGTCAAACCATACCAGAGGCTGCGAGGCCTCTGAGTGAGCAGAGACATCAGGAAGAGAGAATCATGGAGAGGGACAAGACTGTGAGGCAAGGACACGATGAGTGACAGACAACATGTGGACTGAGAGATGCGCAGCTAAGCTGCAGAGACGAGCATGACAGCCATCTTGCTGGTAGCATACCTGTGGTGGACAAGTTGAGGTCCCTTCCTAAAGTTGGGGTGGACGCTGCACTCTGTGAGGTAATGGAGGAGATTGATGAAGAGCTCTCTGCCCGGGCCAGGGGGGCAAAAGGCGGGGGGCTGCTTGAAACTGGCGGACTGAATGGCCGGGTCTGGAGATGTAACACAAGTTATTTTGTTCAGAATGAAAAAACACAGTCTCAGGAACAAAAGATAAATGAGGGGGGGAGAGAGAGGGTAAAAGAAAAGAAAGGGCTTTTCCCACATACCAGGTCTGTGATCGGTTTCCCCGGGGGCAGCTTTGGTCGGGAGGACGGACGAGGAGGAGGAGGCGGAGGGACTGGGCTGCCTCGAGACTGAGGTGTGGTAGGACGAGCTGGAGATGAGGGGCCTGTGGCACATACCAGTGTCTGTGGTTAGCACAGCCTTCAGTTCACAGTGACGGAGATTTTTATTGCCGCACTTCCCTTCTATCAGCTGTGTTTGGAGAGAAACTGTTGTGCGAGACTCTGGTTGGTTCTGGCATGAAATAAAATTGCTGTTGAGATTTTTGTAGGTGTTCTTCTGATTCACGTGAAAAAAAAATCTGTAGGAAGACGTTACCGCTTGATCTCTGTGCTGATAGAAAGCATCCTGTAATTTTCATACTGGTCTGATGTGGGATGCTTGTTCTCGGTATTCACCAATTGAATGATGGTATATTGAATGATGGTATATGTTAAACAAGACCATTTAAGCATTTTCAGCAGTCCCCCTTTAAAATATCAACATTATATTTCCTTATATTTCTGGAAAGATAAGACCTGTTATGCACTACAAACAAAACGCTGTCATTTCAGAATCACAACACTAGATGTCACTAAAGTTTGACCTGCTCATCTCTGTGATTTTTATTTTTGTGGCTGTGCTGGTGGCCTCGTCATTCTCAATTTTTTCAAAGCAAACAAAATTAAAGGACACTGCAGAATTTAAATAAAAAACATTAATCGTGCTTGGTGTAAATGAATCTCGAAGAGGCCACTGTGCGTGTTTGCAGCAACACAAGAGTACTCACTGCTGCCTGAGTAGGGTCCCGGGGAAGACATGATAGACCTGTAGGTAGTTGGAGGAAGAGGAGGTGGCGTGCCCCTGAAGCTTGGCGTCAGCTCTCTGGGGGAACCCACAAAGTCTGGTACATCTTCTCTCAGGTTTACACCTTCTGGAGTCCTCTTACCCCCTAAACCCCCAAGGACCAGTGGAGACGTGACTCCAGCACGAGGGGATCTACGCTCCGCTGGCAGAGGAGGCACAGGGCTGATGGGGGCAGGGGAGGAAGAGTACTCTGCAAACTGCAGCATCTCCTCATCAATAGCATCCTCTTCAGGGCACCCAGGAGGGGAATTAGAGGGGGAGAATTCTGGGGGCAGAGGAGGGGCTGGTTCATCTGGCGGAGGAGGTCCGAGTAGAATGGAGGGAGGCGAGTCTGGCGGAGTGAAACGAGGAGGAGACCCAGGGGAAAACGGCGGAGGTGAAGGTAGGGGTTCGTTTGGAGGTGGTCCAGGTGAGAGGCAGGGGGTGGAAGGGGTGGATGAAGGTGTGTCTGGCGGAGGAGAGTCGGGTGGCGGAGGTGGAGCCGGTTCATCGGGCGGTGGGGGCCTGTCATCAGTGAAAGTAACCCATCTGGGAGACATGGTGTCCTCACTCATGGGTCCAAAGACATCGTCTAGGTCGGGGGCAGGGGAGCCTCGGTAAGAGGCTGGGGAGAGGACATTCAGGTAGATTGGTGCCGAACTGCGAGCCGCCCTCCCATTGGGTAGATCGGCTGCAAAGAGTATATTGGAGAAGTGAGATCACAGCTGACTGATCTAACTATATTCTTGACTGATGTTTGAAAATAAATTTACCAGCAGATTCTGAAGGATAGCCGTAGTGACTTCTCGATGGAATGTTTTTTGGAGGGAGTGGAGGCGGAGCTGCGACAGGTGCAACAATTCAAGATCAGCACAACTTCTTTAGAAACACGAATTACAACAGAGATAAAGTTCACTCATGTTTGCTCACCCCCTGTTGGAAAACTTCTGCTCAGCTGTGATTCTGATCGGGGTCTAGAATCTCCCCACGCATCCGAAGGTACCACTGTCATTGGATAAAGGGGGGAACAGTGTCACCTTTGTAAAGGGAGTTTATTCATTTGGGTAAAGTTATGTCTGATCAATGGAGGACTGACCGTCATATCTGGCATATTTTCTCTCTAAAGGCAGCTCAAAGAAGGCAGGAGTGTTCTGTGACAGCCTGTCACTGCAAAAAAACACATGCAACAAGTAAAAAAATAGCACACATAGCTGCTCAAGGGACATCTGAAGCAGAGCAATAGCATACCATCTTAATGAAAGAAGCGTTTAATTTGCCAACATTGCTAAAAGGATGACAGACCTTTGCGTCTCTGGGGCAGGACTCGGTATCGGGGTTGAGCGTCTGGGTCTAGCGATCTCCTCACCTATAAGAAAAATAACAAACGCTCAGCTCCTGCTCTGCTGAGACTACTGTTATGTTGTTCTGGTTAGGAGTGGAGAAGTCCCATCCACCAACTGTTTAAACCTTTTGTTCACAAGTGGCAGCCAATCAGAAGAAAGTTGGTTTAAAGGAAGAGATGCTTAAAAGGCTTGTTTCAGACATAGAATTTAAAAAATGACTACACAGAGGCTTAGAATAAGTTAAATAACGATTATTTTGAACCCTGAGTCATGCAAAGCTCCTCAAATAGCTGGGTACGAGCATAATATATCCTCTTTAATATGCGTGCAGTAGCAATGTGGTTATGAGCACAAGTACAGGAATACGGGAGGAATTTTAAAAAGTGATTTTTAGAGATGTGTACTTACAGGACAAGTTCCTTTTCATCTGCCCGTGCAAAAAAAGAAAAGAAAAAAAAAAGAAACCCAACAAAAGAAAAAGTAAGGCTACAGATCATATTATACACCGTATACAAATACACATGATCTTCAGTCCTTTAAGATGTTCTTCTTTCTTATTATATCAAAACACAGTACGATTATAGGAAATCTAATTTGTGTATTACTCCTCTGGCTTAAGTGCTCTTCATCAGTCTTGATAGTTTTGGTGTGACTTGAACAGAATTGGAGACATCAGCTTGAGAAGTCTGTGCTTTGTCTAGTGCTGCCAAATCATAACTACCAACTCCATTCGAAAAATAAAAAGCATCTGAAAAGCAGAAATGCCTCCTTCCAGAAATGATCATCAGAAAAATATACATACTTTCTTGTGAGTCTTTTCGTGAATGAAGCACACATGCTAACTGTGTCAGTCAGCAGAGGGAAGTATGCATCTACCCGTGATGGGAGGCTCATGCTGACATGACAGCATGACAAGGTGTAAACATTAATGGCGTACCCCTTCTGCAGAGCTGTGGTACATTTTTTGGAGCTTTGAGAGGCAAAAGTCAAGTGTCACGTATTCATGAGAAGGCGGAAATTTCTCCCGTCTGTATCTCTGGTGGACAAGGCAACTCGCTAACTAAACAACGGATGAACAGCACTACAGCCTGAGGTAAAAATGTTTCTCTTTATTTTCTGCATTGTACAGAGTAAGGCAGCGGAGATCAGAAAGCTGCATTTGGGGCTATCAGTGGTAAAACAGCCAGCAGAGGGAAAACTTACCGGACTGTGTCTCTGAGACCAGCAAAAAGGAAGAGAGAACAGACCTGGGTCAGAGAGTGAGTGACAAATCAGTCAAATGGACACTAACTACAACTACACACACCGCATCTCTTTACTTTAACCGCAAAGCCTCAATAATGCAGCATGAGCCGTAACTCCCTGGAGATTATGCGGACAATACGAGCATCACCTAGAATCAGCACGCACACAGCCTCACACCGAAGACAGCAGGGTCTCTAGATCAACGGGTTTGGAACTGTATGTGTGTTAGGTTTGCTTTGCATTATGTAACGCACACGCTTTGCCACAAAGGTTTAAATAAAGCTGTCGCTGAGCAGGAAAAAACTGAAGGAACAGAAGCAAGAAGAAAAAGAAAGTTGTGATTTTTGTGAGGCAGTGAGGTTGGGAAAGAAAGTGCATCCAGGAAAAAAAAACGAAAGCCAGCGAAGACAGTCTACGAGATCACTACGACAGGAGGGAACACGTTATCAAGCGTTTTCACCACATCTCATGCCATCTGTCAGGGTGCTGATACAGATGTGAAAATGTGTGACAGGCTTACCGGACTTCTCCTCTACAAGAGGGCAGCAAATAAGTGAGAAGAAAAGACAAGCGCAGGCAGAGAGTCAAACAGATTTGAGAGAAATTAGCAGCTGGTAAAGTATATGAACTGCATTGAGCGTGACTATTGTGCTCTTCACAACTGTGCAGCAGAACAGGACTGCAGATCAGCAGCACTCACCAGAGACGGGGACAGCGCCAGGCCTCCCACTGACGCTTTTAGCTCGTCCATGGATGGAAGCACACACTTGGCACTGTCTGATACCAGTGGCTTGATCTTAATTTTGAACTTTTTTTTGCTGTCCTCGTCATCCTCTGAGTCGCTGGACGAGAAAAAGTGCTTTTCTTTGGAGGCTGGTGAACACTTGTAAAGGGCAAAGAGGAGGAAGTACAACATGCTGTACAAAAATGCAGATAGTTCAACCTTCTGTAGCATTTAAAGCAAGGACAACGGTGCAGGACAGGAGTGAGATATCCATTCTGTGTCCCAGTTACCAGTATTACAACTGCTGTAACTGACACTCCTTCTCCACCTCCACTAAATCTTCCTGCTCAGGGAAGGTCTCCACAGTGTCAACTATCTATGAATCCAGTTCAAACATATACTCCCACTGCTGACACCTGTGGGAGCAGAACTGAGCGTCAGTGGTTAATGAGAACTGTGGTTTAGCGACAATTGTAAAGCCGGTTCGACCTAATGTGGCTGTGTCCGGCTGCCTTGCAGCAGGGGTGCACATACGCAGGGATTTGGCCTATTTAATGCTGAAAAGCACTCAACCAATGAGTCACAAAGCCAAACAGATCAATAGTTTTTGCTGGCGAAGACTCCTAAGAGTGCTACTTCTCCTTCCGACTAAAAGGATATCATCACCCTCGTCACCAGGCCGGAGGCTGAAGCCCTCCTCATCTACATCAGGAGAGGCCTGCAAAAGAGAGACAGCGAGAGGGAAATGGTGACGGTTGTTTCTAGCCACTCTCAAACTCTTCAGCAGCGCATAGAAATGCAGATTAGATTTCACAGATGTCTTGCTGGAGACGTTCCACTTGGTAGATGAAGCTCCTGCTGACTCACAGATTATGCACCGCCATAACTCACACACATTTGTACCCTTTACTCTGTAATTTTAAACCTAGCGTCACATGACACTGATTGCACAGCACAGCACTGCAAGTATTTCCAATGCCAGAGCTGCAGAGTCCATGCAAAAAGAGAGACAAAGAGAGAAAATGTGCAGGTGTAGGCTGTGGATACTTACATATCTGTCCCAATCAATCTCCCCATAGAAACCATTGGGAGCCCCGTTGGCCTTTTTCTATCAAAACGGAGATCATAAAGAAGGCAAAACGATAAAAGCTTATGACGTTAAACTAAAATTCTTTTAATATCAAAATTATATTTTTTTAATATATTTTTAGATTTTTTTTAATGTACCATAATCAGAATAAATTATTGCTGCAGGCCCAGTTCAGTTAAATGTAATTTTATTCATAGCACCAGTTAACAGTCTTCCCAAAGTGTTTATATGTCCAGGTAAAGAAAGAACCCAAATGAAATTTTTATCCCCAAAAAGCAGCACTTGGAAACAGCGGTGCAGAAAAACTACCTTTTAACAGGAAGAGACCTCCAACTAATCCGTTTAAATCTTGTTAAAGTCACTGTGCTGTAGTTTCCTGTTGTGCTGTTATAATCTCCTAGGTATAGTTTCCTCTGTTAAACAGTCACAAACACTTAGAGGGCCAAAAAAACCCAGGTAAATTAAAGGAAACACTTTCATTGTGTATGTACGTACGCTTCCTTTCTTTCCACTTCCACTTCCTTCTTTGTCAGGTGAGCTCCTGTTTGACAAAACAAGCAGATGGAAAAATTAGGTACCAGTATACCAGTAGATTTTTCTTCATTTGTATGTGGTTTTTAAAAAGTGGGTCTTGTTTTCAATTATTTAATGTAAAATACCCATGTTGTGGTACTCAGATTATTTTTGGTATCTTTTGCAGGTACCGCATAGACCTATAGCACAAAATTTCCTATAATTTTATAAATCCAACAAGAACTTTATTAGTGTCATAGCAGTAGTTTGGGTTGTTTTACATCTCTATGCATTCACATTCTCAAACCAATGAGTTCTCAAAGTGTTTTAGGGATTTTCTCCTGTTACCAGTGAGTGTCTGAGGAAACTCACGTTGTTTCTTTGTCCTTGTCTTTCTTTCGTAAGCCCAGGGCTTTCCTGGTTCGGTTTTTCAGTCCTAGCATAGAAACACACACAGGAAAGGAGCGCGTGAACATTATCATTAAGAACTCATTTTAAGTTGTTATAGCCAAATATAAAATTAACTATCTAGACATTAAAATGCACTTGAAAGCAAATAACAAAGAAGAGTAATGGGCTGGGTGTATAAGAGCCTGGGGATGAGTACGGGCTAGTGGATACAGAGAAGTTACAGTAAGATAAAAATTAACGTATTGATTTGGAACAAACCCCAGGCAATCTGGAGAGAGCCTCCACATAAAACGAAGCAGTGTCCCCTTCCTGACTATGTAGGCTGTTAAGAAAAAATGAACAACCGTTGATCAATGTGTTCACTTCATTAGCACGATTCAGAGCAGAGCAGCCAGGGATCTAGTACAGCGTCCCATCAGCCAAACTGAATGCCAAAAGTCCTGCAGCACTGTCGGCTGGCAACATGCAGCGATGCAATCAGAACGATAAACACAAAGAAAAACGTTTTTTCTGTTTCACCTTATAGTGATTTTTCAAAGGTTTTTGAAATGATTAGGACACAGAACATGCTGTATGCAAATGTAATTTGGAGCACTTATTATCAACTGACAATAAAAATAACTGGAGGTTGTTTAATGATGCTCCATGCTGCAGGAGTGTATTGATTTAAAAATTACATCAAGTCTATAGCCATGCTAGCATGCTAACAGGTCCGTGAGGCTACCTAGGCCCGACTAATAATAACTTTAGCTTAACGTGCATTTACAGTGTTAGCATTCTGATGTTTGGAGTTCATCACATCTATTAACATGTTAGCAAATTAAAGCATAAAATGTTAGCATACTAACATTCTCTAATTAGCAATACAAAGCGGAGAGAATTAGCTAACATGCTAAACAAAAATTCTCTGGGTGTTATCTATGAAGGCTGTTTGCTGGTATAATTAAAGATAAAGTACTCTTTTGTTTAATGAGTGAATTAATGGGTCAAAAGTGCTCCAGTCCAACATCACTGGTCTAGAGCGCTTACTGTGATAGTCACAGTAATGAATCACTTATTCTGGCTCAATAATTCAACGTACTTATATTCCAGAAAGTGCAGTTAACCAAGATGAGTGACTTTAGGTATTTTAATGTATTTTGACTTGCGTACTATTACACTATAACATGTAACTTTTCACTTAAATAAAAAGTCTGAATAAGTGTAAAGTTAAATGCACTCCACTTAAAAATCTTTGAAAGACACCTTAAACAAATTCTGACAAAGAGCAGTTTTCTTTAAAAAAAAAAAAAAGTCTGTGTGTTTGAGTGTGAGTTTGAGTGCGTGTGCACGCATTTTCTTTTCCCCCCCAATAAGCAACCGACAGGTTTGCATAACTGTGTTTTAGAAGAAGTGAGCGCAGTTGATAGTCAAATCCAGAGCGACAGGGACACGTGTGATGAACAGTTGGGAGGATGAACATTTTGTGCCACTCAGAAGCAGCTGATACCGTTTGTGTGTTGCTCTGCTCATCATCCCTTTGTGTAATCTGCATGCTGTGCTTTAAACTGGATCACATTTTCTAAACAGACTTACCGCTTTTAATTTTTTTTTTTGTGCCTTACTTTTTTAATTCATGTCACAGATATTGTGTCGTTAAGATAAACACAAAACAGGAGAAACTCATTTCAAAATTAAATTAATACAGAGTCACTGATGTGGTGATTACCTTCACTCATACTTAAATCCTAACAAATATTATAAATGTTAATCAGTAGCATTCACGTTCTTCTGACAGGGTCTGTGATGTGACGTATTAGTGGCTCGACTGGCAAATATTATTCCTGCATCCTGTCTCTTTGTTAGTCAATCACAGGTCTGTACCACGATTCTTCTCTCCAGTCCTAACCTGCATGTGACATTGTTGGTAAAGATCAGTCCCAACACTGATGAGTAACAAACCTGTTGAACGACTACGTATCACACGCCGAGCGAGTACAAGAGGTCTGGTCAGACTGACTGCAAAGCGATGCAGATCACACTGTGCGTCACAGCAGGACTGTGTTGTTTTTGTAACCCATTTACAGAGTTTGCCTGAGGAGAGCCTCATTAAACAGAGGCATCATACTAATTAATGATACTAGCTGTAAATATAGTTGAGTTAGGGTCTCCTTCATGCCAACTCACAGACACACAATCTTTAGACACAATTCTGCAAAACATTTCCAAGGACCAAAGTGATGGATTCACACGTCACCCTACTTACTCACAAATAACATGTTCTTCACATTACTGCTGATAATTTAACTATGTAACTTCCCTATAGTGCCATTATTCCACTTTCAAAATCGAGGATTAAAATTCAAGTTATTTTGGGGGTTTTTTACTCTGCACGTGAAATACAAATGGATTTGCATTTATTGGTAATGTGCTACAAGACTTTCAGCCTTTTTACAGCTATATCATTTTCTTAATATGACCAAATTTAACCTCAGGTATCCTTGCAGTGTCTGTTCTGCAGCTTGTAGTCTCTTCTCTACTATATACTGTTGTTCTACATTTTACACAGTTAATTAGCAGATGATACAGCTGGAAGCTCAAGAAGAAAGCTACTCACTGACATCTACACACAGCTATTTACAACAAAGGAAACTGCATCTAGGAAAGAAGATAAGACTAAAGCTGTAGGAGAAATGTTCACAGTGGAAACTGACTAATGTTTTTAGACAAAGTATTGTCAAGAACGATGCCTTGGATTCACTGTCAAGTTCTTTCAGACTATGACACAGTTTGTATAAACGCAAACCTCGATAAACAGAAGAATGGCATCCATAATTTGTGTAAATCCCTAAAACAAACAGCTAGTCAGCTATCTTGGTTGTCAGTTGCGTGTAGCTCAACTAGCATGCCGCTGTTACCAGTGACACAGAGGAGGTTTCAAATAAAGAAGGAAAAAGAACAGTTCTGCTCCGATGAGCGGTTTGAACAGGTTTTCTCTGCTTTCTCTTCACATCTTATCCTCTGACTTTTGTTCAGTATTTTAGATATTTACAGTTTCTTACAGTAGCTTAACTTTATGTTAGCAGACAATAAATTCTGCCCTTTCCACGACGTCCATCCTTTCCACCCACTCCCTTGGTTTTCTTCTTTTTACGCGCTTCCAGCCCTATCTCAAGTAGGTTTCAAGTTTCTGCAAGTTGATTTTTATACACTCCTGACATTTACTCCTGCCTGGAAGAAAAGATCAATTTGATACCTTATGGTATGCCATGGAAAATGATCAGCAGGAATTACATTTTTTTAAGTGTCTGAAACTTGTAAAACTAGCAATGTGGTCTTTAAAGCATAAACTTCTAGTACAAATAGGCCACCTGGCCAAGATTACTGCCCACACTACTGCAATTAATGATTCTGATTTATAGAGAGGACCTGCACATTTTATCTTAAGCCCAAGAAGCATATTACTACACCTATATTTTAGTCCAGACCTCACTAAATGTCACTAACTACATGCTAACACTGTGTGCACATGTAGCTAACAAAGGCTACGGTGAGCTTGTGACATCTGTGTGAGTTTCCTCCAGCTTGTGAACCGAGTACAATATCATGTTAGGTTGACTGCAGGCCCTCTGCTAATAATAGCCACCTTCCATTACCACGTAGGCACAAATGGATGATAAAGACCCAGCATCTCTCATGTAGAGCAGGATGGTTTATAATGTACTTCACCTAACTGTAGGACAGCATCCTTTACTTCAGTTTATATGAGACATGCACTAAATGCTCTGAGGCTGAAGGATCACCTGATAGCAACAGCTAGTAGTAATGAATGAGTACAGCTACTTGGAGTGGTCACATGTCTCCTTACATACACATCTATATGACATAACTGCAAGATTAGCATGCACACACACATACACACACAGGCACACGCAAAAACAAACACAAACCCAAAAGGACATTACTCTGTACACACTTTACCACTGTGAATGGCAGCTCCCCCTTTCTACACCACAAACATCTTCTCAGGCATTACAGCTACCTTTCTATAAATCTTACACACACACACGCATACGCACAAGTACTCACAATAGCCACATTGTCACACTGGTCATGCATACAGCTCAGTCGTACCAGAGGTCCGCACGGCATGACAGATCACATCACTGCATTCACTTTTTTTAATGGCCCAGCAGGACACAAGAGGGCAGGAGGAGGACGCTGAGAAACAGGACGTGGAAAATAAAAGGAGTGCACACATCACTTACCTTGCATCATGATTGCAGATTTTCATCCTACGCTGCCCTCTGGATTGCAGGCGGGCAGAAATGGAGGAATCCGACCGGTCAAAAGATGCCTGGGCAGGGCATAGCTAATTCTGCACAGCTCCCCAGCGAAGCACGATGTTGATTTCCTCCACCCCCGAGGGCCCGACTCCCAGACACCCGCACGGGGAGGCGGGGTGGGAGCTGCAAGGCAGCAGGAGCGGTGAAGGACACGGGGAGAAGAGACACCCGAGGAATGCGCTGCAAATCGGGAGAGGAATAGGGGTCCTCTCTGTGTGCGTTAGGCCACAGACGGCCGAGCGGCACTGACACACGCCATCGCTGAGAGGGGGGATGCTGAGGAAAGGCAGAGGGAGAAAAAACAGAGCGCTACAGAGAGATAGAGGGGCAGAGAGAGGCAGAGAAAGACCAGGGGAGAGAGGGGCGGAGGGAGGGAGTGGGAGGCTTGCTGATGTCACATCTGCACTAAACCAATCCCTGAAACCACGGTCACATGGCTGCTGTCCCCTGATGCCTAAGCACCTCTTGGCTTGCCTTGAGCAGGCACACTACATACTATGCAAGGTCCTATAAAATAAAATACACTATTTTCTTTTATTTTGAATTAATTCAAATATTGCTTTTGCTTTGAAAATAAATCTGTTGTATTTTTTTTTTATGATTTATGATGATTAAATTCATTAAAATTTTCTGAACTGCAAAAATCAGAATCAGAATCAGAATGGGTTTATTGCCAGATGTTGAGGTTTACAACATTAGGAAATTGCTGCGGTGCTTCAGTGCAGACAATAAGAATTAAAGTGCTATGTAGAAAGAAAGATATGTGCATGAGATATACATGAGATATATACATGAGAATAAGAATTATGAGTGCTACGTAGAAAGATATATACATGAGTGCAGGTGGTGATCAGTGCCAAACATGAAATGATGCAGTGACACAGCGTAGGGTCATGTGTTAGTGGCGGGGACAATCATGTGGTTATTGTTCATGTGTCCAACAGCAGAGGGGAAGAAACTGTTCTTATGGCGAGAGGTTCTGGTGCGAATGGACCGGAGCCTCCTGCCTGAGGGGAGCAGGTCAAACAGACTGTGTCCAGGGTGAGAAGGGTCAGCTGAGATCCGGGCTGCACGCCGCAGTGTCCTGGAGGTGTACAGGTCCTGCAGAGATGGGAGTCTGCAGCCAATCACCTTCTCAGCAGAGCGCACAACACGCTGCAGTCTCTGTTTGTCCCTGATAGTGGCTCCAGCGTACCACACGGTGATGGAGGAGGTGAGGATGGACTCGATGATTGCGGTGTAGAATTGCATCATCGTCCGTGTTGGCAGGTTGAATTTCTTCAGCTGCCTCAGGAAGTACATCCTCTGCTGGGCTTTCTTAATGACGGAGGTGATGGTGGGCTCCCACTTCAGGTCCTGGGTGATGGTGGTACCCAGGAAGCGGAATGAGTCCACAGAAGTGATGGGGGTGTCAGTCAGGATGATGGGGGGGAGTGGGGCTGTGTGCTTCCTGAAGTCCACAATAATCTCCACTGTCTTCTGGGCATTCAGCACCAGGTTGTTGTGGCTGCACCAGGACACCAGACGTTCAACCTCCCTCCTGTAGGCAGACTCGTCCCCGTCAGAGATGAGCCCAATGACGGTGGTGTCGTCTGCGAACTTGATTAGCTTGACAGACTGGTGGGTGGAGGTGCAGCAGTTGGTGTACAGGGAGAAGAGCAGAGGAGAAAGAACACAGCCCTGAGGGGAGTCGGTGCTGATGGTCCGGGAGTCCGAGACATTCTTTCCCAGCCTCACGTGCTGCTTCCTGTCCGTCAGGAAGTCAGTGATCCACCGGCAGATGGGATCAGGCACATTCATCTGGGAAAGCTTGCCTCGGAGATGGTCTGGAAGGATGGTGTTGAAGGCAGAGCTGAAGTCCACAAACAGGATCCTGGCGTAGGTTCCTGGGGAGTCCAGATGCTGCAGGATGAAGTGTAGGGCCATGTTGATGGCGTCGTCTACAGACCTGTTGGCTCTATATGCAAACTGCAGGGGGTCCAGGAGGGGGGCCGTGAGGGTCTTGAGATGGGAGAGAACTAGGCGCTCAAATGACTTCATGACCACAGATGTCAGAGCCACGGGTCTGTAGTCATTTAGTCCAGTGATCCTAGGTTTCTTGGGGACAGGGATTATGGTAGAGGACTTGAAGCAGGCAGGCACATGACATGCCTGCAGTGAGGAGTTGAAGATGCCAGAAAACACTGGGGCCAGCTCGTTTGCACAGTGTCTGAGGGTGGCAGGAGACACGCCGTCTGGGCCGGGAGCTTTCCGAGCATTCAGACTCCTAAACTGCTTCCTCACATCTGCTTCATGAATATGAAGAGTTGTGGTGGGAGGAGGTGGTGTGAAATCCTCTTTTGTGGGGGTGAGAGGCGGGTGTTGCAGGTGAACAGTTTGAAGGTGGTGATGGCTCTATGGAGGGGGAGAGGTGGGGGAATGAGTGTCCAAAGTGCCTCTATTGTTGGGGTCGTTGAAGGTGTGAAGGCTGCCTGATGGCTCGTCAAAACGGCAGTAGAAGTTGTTAAGGGTGTTGGCTAAGAGCAAGTCGTCAGTGGAGTGGGGGGTTTTAGGCTTGTAGTTGTTATATTCCTAAAACCTTTCACACAGAGGCCGAGTCATTCTCTGAGATCTGCTGCTGCATCTTCTCAGAGTGCTGATGTTTGGCAATGTCCACTTCTTTAGTGAACCTGTACTTGGCCTCTCTGTAGCAGTCCCTGTCTCCGCTTCTGAACGCCTTACTCTTTTCCAGCCACAGCTTTTTGAGTTTAGGAGTAAACCAGGTCACCCATCCGTTTTCTTTGCAGACATGCTGGGGCGAGAGGCGGGAAACACCTCGCCATCAACACAGGGAGACAGGCAACCTTTCATGCTTACAGTCACACCTAAGGCCAATTCAGAATCACCAGTTATTACCAGTTAACCTAACATACATGTCTTTGGACTGTGGAAGGAAGCTGGAGTACCCACAGAGGTACAGGTAGAACTCCAAACAGAAGGATCCCCCCACAGGCCGGTGGGTTCAAACACAGGACTCGCTTGCTGTGAGTTTAAAGCTCTATGTTGTCCTTTTTCATGCAAATATTCTACAGCTAAAAGTGGACCAGTGCCTATACTGGGTCACTTCACTGTGCTGGTGGCTGATCATGAAACCTAACCTTGAAACTTTCCTCATATAGAGTGTTCTGTTAATACAAAAATATATTTAATTCATTCTTCAGGTAATACAGGTAATACAAGTAATACAAGTCCAAATCAGAACCAGTGAGCCACTTAAGCTTTAGCAGGTGGATTGGAATAATGCCTTTGATGCTGTGGAGGGCTGCAATCAGATCTAACAGCGAGAGGATGACAAGAGGAGATCATTTGTTCAATTTCAGTCACATAGGTTTTGATTTGTGGGGGGAAAATGCTGAAGACACACTTTTTGGGAGTTTTTTTGGTTCAGAGGGTTTTTTGCTAGTTCTCTGGAAAGAAAACAAGAGCAATATACTGACTTCACAAAGCTGCAAGACTATTTCTATTGCTAAAAATGTGTCCCACTTGAGGACAGCAGAAAATCTACCACCGCAGAGTACACCCTGTCAGCTATAATCATAAGACGTGCTCACTGGGAGGAGGGACCCCAAATGTTAGCCTGGAAGTAAGCAAGAGCGGGAAGGACAAAGGACAAACTATGACTGTGTGCGCGTGTTAGACCAATTGCTTTAGTCAAAGCAGTGGTTTGATTATTCATCTGCTTTAATGGCAGCGTGCTGGACATTTGGAGCAGAGTGACTCACCCTCACCGATACAGCAAGGACAGATGGGTCTGTGGGTGTATGTATGTGTGTGATTGTTTGGGGAGAGACCCCACTGTGGAGGTCACATAATTTTAAAACAGTAGAAAATTCAAGCGTGTGTTCTTTCCCTCAGCTGTTTTGTTCTATGCTAAGTGTATACTCAGAGTGTAATCAGATGCAGACACAACTAAAGAGTCAGTGTCCTTTATGGCAGCCAAATGAAAAACAAGAAACGTTCCAAACCTTGGAACCTAAAATATTCAGAGAACCAGAAGCTGAACACGACGCTTGTAAACCGGAATAAGTTTCCCCAGCTTCTGCCACTGAAGTTTATTTGTAGCTGTTTATTTGTATCCTAGAGTAACCGTTAATGAGCTTAAACGAGCTGGCACAACACACCTCAGGCTGCACCCGCGTGCTTCCCTCAATCAGCCTCTTATGTAAGATGACATCCAGGGTTCAGAGGTCATGGCAAGTGGGATTAGCAAAGGAGAGCCGGATGGAGAAGAGCACAAGGAGAATGAGGTGTGAGTTGTTCTGTTAGCCTGGCATTACTGCTATTGTTGGGCTCTGGGTGTCAGAGAGACAGGAGTGAAAGAAAGCTGTGAACAGATCACAAATATTAGTGAGACAAAAACAAGAAACAGCTATTTAGGTAAACATGTGTCTACAGACGCAGATGTGCGAGGCTGTAGTGATGCTGTCCCACACAGTGTACAAATAGGTTAGACTGAATTTTAATGACGGCCTGCACAGAGATCTAACTGCAGGAAGCTGCAACAGGACTAAATCCTTTCGCTCTTAGTGACTCAATACTGCCACCTGCTGAATAAAGTTACTCAAGCCTTACAGAAGTTACACTCAGAGGCCACTTTATTAGGTACACCTGTGCAAACTATTGCTGTTTAGTATTTGATTTAAATATATTCAGTTTTATTCATATATAGCACCAATACACAACAACAGTGGCCCCCAAGTTGCTTTATGTTGTAAGGTCAAGACTCTACAATATTAGAGAGAAAACCCCAAGAAAGGTAGGCTGAGGGAGGGGCAGCCATCTGCTGTGAGTATCTGGGGGCTGAGGGGAGACAGGAGAGAAAAGAGAAGACATTACTTTGGTAATTAAGTGGTAATAACGTACTATTTCCACATTATTACCTTCTTGTTTCAATCCTATGTCCCCACTATTTCCACATCTTGTCCAGCTAAGCTATGACTTTTTAATTTGTAATTTTTTTTTATTTTTTTTTTAGCTCTGATGAACTTTACACTGCACCTTCACTTTAATGTATTATCATAATATGTCACAAAACAGTCTTTCCATTGCTCCATTCAACCTTTAAGTGTGAGTTTCAGAACTGGTTGAAACAGTTTTCATGTGCCACTGTCACTTTCTGGAAAGACTGCGTGCTGTAATTGCTATTATTTAAACTATATCACATGTCTGTCATTCCCTCCCAAGAGCCATTATTTTATTCCGCCTATGAAAAGAGGCATAGAGGCCATGTTTCTGCTGCAGGGCAAAAGTGTAATTTTCTAGTTTCTTCAATCATTTTAGGAGATTAAAGGACAAACAGTCATTTACTC